AGGACCGAGGGGACGGGGTGGAGCGGGGAGCGGGGGGGGGAGCGACTGTGTCCGAGCACGCTGGTTTGCAGGACTGGGAGGCGGACGAAGAAGCCTCTCGTTTTCTTTTTCAGGGCCCTCCCTCTCCTCCTCCTCCTCCCCCCCTTCTTGGTTTGCCCTGTGCCCCGGCCTCTTCTCGCTGTGAGGCCAGGGAGGCGTCGTTTATTTCGGTGCTCGCGCACCGTGATGAGGGCGACTCTAGTTCGGACTAACGCCTGGGGGAGAAGCAGCGGGCCACGGGGTATCCTCCAGCCAGCTGGAGATGACCCTGTGGCCCGCTGCTTTTCCTCGCTTTTCAGGTGTTAGTATTTGCTGGCTTGTCCAGCCGTCCTGCCCTAATTGTCCGCGCGGCGCAGGCTTGGGCATTGCACCCTCAGGGTCAGCCCTCGCCCCCGCGTCTTTCGCCTGGCTCTGCCGCTCCTGCTTTCTCCGCGCAGATCTGGGCAGCTGGCCCGACAGCGCGGCGGGAAATGCTATCTTCTCCCCGTGATGAGGGCGACTCTAGTTGCTGGCTTGACCAGCCGTCCTGCCCTAATTGTCTGGGCTGGCTCTCTACCTTGATGTTGATGTCAAAAAAAAAAAATCCTCCTCCTCCTCCTCCTCCTCCTCCTCGGGTCGCCTACGGCCCCGGGGGAAGTCGTGCAGCTCAGGGCCATGCGCATTCGCCACCAGGCGCCCATCGACGATCCATCGGCGATGCCCTGCCGATGTCAGTGCGACGTGTCCCCCCCGCCTGAGCCAGACCCCCGACGCGAAGCCTGTCCAGAACGCGGGCCCCCAGAGGTCTCGACCCATACTTAAGTCGGGCGTCTCCCCCTACAGGAGGGACATTCAAACATTGTCAACAAATAATATGGGGACGATCTTTTTCCCTACCTAGGCTCTGCCTAGAAGGGTTCTTACTCTCTTAGCTTATAGGGGCCGGGCATTGCATGCCCGGGCGTTGCAACATCCCCTGACGGTTCCCCCCAGTCCCCTGAGAGCTTTAGCTTTAGCTTTAGCTTTAGCTTTACTTAGCTTTAGCTTAGCTTTAGCTTAGCTGTAGCTTAGCTTTAGCTTAGCGTTTCGCTTAGCGTTTCGCTTAGCTTTTCGCTTAGCGTTTAGCTTAGCTTTAGCTTAGCTTTAGCTTAGCTTGAGCTTAGCTTGAGCTTAGCTGTAGCTTAGCTTTAGCTTAGCTTTAGCTTAGCTTTAGCTTAGCTTTAGCTTAGCTGTAGCTTAGCTTTAGCTTAGCTGTTGCTCAGCTTTAGCTTAGCTTTAGCTTAGCTTTAGCTTAGCTTTAGCTTAGCTTTATCTTAGCTTTAGCTTAGCTTTATCTTAGCTTTAGCTTAGCTTTAGCTTAGCTGTGGCTTAGCTTTAGCTTAGCTTTAGCTTATCTTTAGCTTAGCGTTACTGTTACTACTAATGCTGCTTTCCTAGGGGTTCCAACTCCTAGGTAGGGTCGCACTGGGATAATCTAGTAATTTTGAAGATTGTGGGAGTATTTGTTGGGAGTATTTTGAATTCTTTCGCACAAAATCCCCCTGTAGGTGGCCAGGCCCGGCCTAAACCCATACCCTGGGGCCGTCCTGAGTTTTTCGGACGGTCCCGGGGCCTGGCGAAAAACGCCCCGAGAGGTGGAAAATAACAGAAATGACGTCCGTCGTGCGTTTTCCACGGCGCGAGGGTCGATACCTCCCCCCCCTCCTGAGCCATACCCCTCCCCCCTGCTTTCCCCCTCGGCCCCTGGGGTTGTCGGGCCCGGACGATAGGGTAGGACAGCAAAATCTGCTGCATGCACTTGGTTTCCGCCCCGCCGCCGGGCCCATTCCTCCGGTGCAGGAGCGCCTCTCGGCGCCAGGAAGCTTCTCTGCCCTACCCTTGGCTATCCTACCCTTTTGCCACCCCCGAGGTTGGCATGCAGCCCTCCTCCAGCCGCGCGCTCGGGTGGCGCCCCCCCCTCATCGGCGCAGGAGCGCCGTCGTGGGCGATGCCTTGGGGGCGGCCCCGCGGGAATCCTTCGGGCGGGGTCCTTGGGGCCCCAGGGTGCCGTGGGCACCGGCGATCTGTTCGTAGGTGCGCACTGCGCCCCGAGAGCCCCTCGCGCGATGAAAAAACCGCGACGGGATGCTTTTGGTATGTTTGGCTTCTGGGAGAGGGTCCCCACTGTGCCTCGGCACTGCAAAGAAGGCACAGCATGAGAAACCGGTCCCGGGGAAGGGCTCCAGACCCCTGGGGGTCGACGTGATGAACAAATCATGACGTGGGGGGGGCTTTGAGCCACCAGGTGCAGGAACGCTTCACCCCAACTGCACCGACGAAGCTCGTGCACTTCGCCATGGATATGTAAGGCGTGATGAAGGTTGCGGCTGGCAGGGGGTCGCCTTGGTTAGGGCGAACTTCGGGGGGCTCCCGAGGGCCCCGACCCGGCGGCTCCCGAGGCCCGCCCCCCCCCCGAGGCCCCCGAGAGGGGTCACACGACATGCTCGCCAATGCGGGTGTGTGACTGCCGCGGGCTGGCAGCGCTATAGAATGGACGCGGCCATGAGCAGCACTGCTACCATCGGGAACGCGTGCGGTTCGCCTTCGCCAGAACTCGGGCTCGCCGACGCTTCTTTTGACGGCCCGTCCTGAATTTTGGCGGTCCAGCTCTCGTGAGATGCTTGCAGAGGGAACTCGCGTCAAATTTCAGACGGGGGTTCGTCATTTTCTTGACTGCCCCGTCATGCCAACTCGGGTCGCCCGAATCCGAGTCTTACATTGAACGGTTTGAATAAGGAAAGGAACACTTATTTTTCAAAAGGGGCTCGGTCGTTCCTTAGGCTTGCATGCGTTATTGATCGTTCTTGATGCGTTTGGTATCGTCCCTTATGCGTTGTTCCTTGGGATAAAAGGGGCTTCGTTCCGTATTCATCGTTCTGTAGGTCAGGCCGATGATTGTACGTCTCCCCGATCTAAGATCTAGGGGCACATCTTTCGTCGCCTCTGCGCTTCGTGAGGTGCCCCCGGGCCCCAGGGGCTCTGCGGACCCTTGGGGAGATGAGAGCCTCTCCTGGGGCAGCCGCTGGCGGGCCGATGCTGATGCTTGACAGTGCCCTGACGAGCTGACTCCGTGAAAATATTTCGGCGGGGGGTGGGTGGGCAGTTTCCTGCCTCTGGTGGCATTCAATTGACTGGGACAGGCAGACAATCGCCTGGTATGAAAAACCGGTCCTTTGAAAAGGGACCTTGATCTTTTGGGAGCCCATGTGTGAAACAGACACGGAGTCGTATGTTTGGGGAGGCACTCCAAATGAGAAGTTGGCTTGCCAGCAGGTTCCCCATAGAACTTTCTTTATCCCCCGATGACTTGGTGGACCTTGCAGAAGCCTTGGACTGGGGTACCTGTATACGGACGCCCATAAAGTTTGACGTCAAACGTGCCCCTAGACTAGAGTTCTTATCGCAAGATCTAGCATTGCATGCGTCTGCTGTAACACATTGGGCATCGGTAGTCACGGGCTGACCATCGGAGATGGGGGCCAGTGGCCAGCCTCCCAGCTCACGCGAAGGGGACTCCTCGATGCCGGAATTGGCCGCAGATGTGGGAGAATACGACGACGATGAGGACGACGGCAGCTTCTGTGTCGTTGTGCCCGCGGCCCGCTGCTGGGGGATGCAGAGGATTCAAGATTGTGAAGAGGAGAAGGGTGGGAGGGGGAGGATGATGAAAACAGTGAGGAGGAGGAGGAGGAAGAGGAGGAGGAGGTGGAGGCCCGCTGCTAGGGGGGGGCAGGTGAGACAGCATGGTGAGGAGGAGAAGGATGAGCGGGAGGAGCGGGAGAAGCCCGAGTAGGAGTACAGTGAGGAGGAGGATGGGGGGGATGGGGGGGAGAAGTCGCCCCTCCTGCTGCACTCCAGCGTCTGTCGGGACGGCGCTCGCCGACGACCGGCACACGGGGACCTGGCTGGGGAGCCGCCTCCAAGAGGGGCGGGGCGGCCGTCGGCGGTGCAGCCGTCGGCGGTTGCCTGAGGTGTCCCCGACCCCAGGTGCCCCAGGCTGTTCTCGCCATGCTGGAGCCTCTGGGGGCCTCCTTGTGAGTCGTGGGGGCACCTCGGGCCAGGGACGCGCGATTCTGGATGTGGATCCCTGCGCTTCAGGCTTCGGGCCTTGTTCAGAGAAGGCGCGCTTCGCCCCTAGACGGCTGCAGACACAACATCAAGTCGAAGGGTGAAGCGATGATTGACATTCGCCGAGCGCGTTCCACTACTCGCAAAGTGCCTACTCGCAAACGTCCCCCAAACCATACGTCTTCCTTTGTGTAATCTATCGTAAAGTCCCTGAAGCGGATCCATGCCATTTGCGAGTAGCTACTTTGCGAGTGGTGAAACGCGCTTGTCCAGACATGATCATGGAAATGCATGCAATCCTTGGGGCACATTGGGCCAGGAGTACTCTTGGTAGCGCCCGGCAGCTGAGCGCCCGCCCGCCATCGAGGCGCGGGGCCAGTTGTCGCCCCCTCAGGCGCGCTGCCTCCAGCGGGAAACCAGCGGGCGGGCGCGCTGGAGCAGAAACTTGACTGCTGCCCTCCGCCCTGGGCGCGCCCGCGTCTACCCTTGGGCCTCTTGCCTTTCTGGGGCCGCTGCGCTCATCAGGGGGAGTATGGCGGAGGGGGCGCGGACGAGAAGGAGACGGAGGAGGAGAGGGAGGAGGAGAGGATGAGAAGGACAAGGAAAGAGAGGGAAGAGAAGGAGTAGGAGGAGGAGGAGAAGGAGGAGAAGGAGGAGGAGGAGGAGGAGGAGGGCGGAAAGGTAGACGATGCGAGAGGCGAGAAGGAGGGAGTGATGATGGTGGTGAGGGGGAGGAGGTGGACGAGGCAAGGACGAGTAGGAGGATGGTAGGAGGAGGGGGATGAATAGGACAGGGGTGAGGAGAGGAGGAGGGGAGGAGGGGGCGGAAGAGGCAGAGTACGCGGAGGGGGGCAGGAGGAGCAGTGCCCCCCAAGGTCCAGCACGACCACGGAGACGATGGTGAGCATCACGGTGACCAGCGCGTCCAGCACCACCAGCAGGCCCGTGCTTCCCGTGCCCCCCCTGGATTGGGCGGCCTGGCCCGAACGGGGCGGGCGGGAGGGACCGGCATGACCAGTGGCAGTGGTCGGCGACTACAAATTACATGGTTACGCGGTGGCGTGGTTTGCGATCGGCACCGTTGGGGCCTTGGGGGCACGACACTGTCCTCGTCGGGCCTCCCCGGGGCGCGGGAAAGGCGCGGGAAAACTCTACCGAGGTCCCCGCGCGCCCCCCAGGGTGCCCCCCAGGATGTTCTCCAGAGGCCGGTTGCAAACCACACCCTTTGCAAACCATACTTTTTGGAGTCGACGAAGTGGGAAGGGGGGGGATGACCCAGACATGCGGCTGCTCAAATGTTTTGGATGCATGGGCTCCGGAGGTCTGGACTACTTCCCTCGGTCTGGCCTATCGTCCCGAGTCGTTTTGTTGACGGCCCCGAGGCCCAGGGAGGGCTCCCAGAGGCCGAGAACCGCCCAAACCTCCCGCTCCAATTTTATTGGAGCGGCGGATCTCTGGGGAGGGGCGACGCCCAGCCCCTCGCGCCGTGGAATAGAAACGATGGCTGCGCCTTTCTCCTGGAAGTACATTTATAAATAAATATATGTGCGTGTGTGTGTGTTTGTACATGTACATATATGGGCACACATCTGTATATAAAGAGAGACATACACACACACATATATATATATATATATATATATATATAAGTTAGCCTCTGGAGAGACCGTACAGGAAAGACTCAGGAAGACCATGGGCCGACACTTCTGGGGGTCGGCGTTGTGAGCGATTTCTGACGTCGGGGGCCTGGTGATCTTTTCTTATGCATTGTCTTGCCGATTTGCGCGGGTCCTCGCACCCCTCCCCCCCCTCCTCTCCCCCCCAATGGACTAGATTTTGGCTGTTTTGGGCGCCTGTCTCAAGCAGGTGGACGGCTCCACATAGGATTCCCGATAGGAACACGGTTCCAAACAGTCGCCATAAGCAGAGTTCCAGAGTCAGACCCCCCCTCCGCCCTCTCCCTTCCGCTCAATTTCGAAACGCCGAACAAGAAAACGTTCACTTGGGGAAGGAGGCGAGACGAGGGGGGGGGGGGGGGGCGATCGGGGGGATTGGTAAACAATGGTCCGGAGGGGGAGGGGAGGGGTAGGAGAAAGTACGGGGGCTAGTTAGGAGGGCAGGGCAGGGGAGAGGGTGGGTGCGGAGAAGGGCGGACACCCTGCCGTCCGACGCCAAGGGAGTGTGCGTGTGTGCGAGAGGGAGAGAGAGACAGAGAGAGGGTGTGTGTGTGTGTGTGCATGTGTGTGTGTGCCCTCCGCGAAGTTGTTGCCCGAGCTGCGGTTCGGCCGGCCCCCCTGGGCCGCGCGCCTCGGGTTCCGCACCATTGGCCCGTCTTGCTCGCGCTGCGCCCGCCTCCTTGACCCGTCGCGGAGCTGGAAGAATTCCGCAATCGGAACACGGGCTCGTCAGCAGAACGCGAGGCCCGTCAGCGGAACAGGGTGGCCCGTCAGAGGAACAGGGGCCGCGCACGCCAGGCGGACACCTGGCGACCGTTGGCCGAACTCGTTGGCCTCAGCTCCGGCGCTTACCACTGTACTTCGTCTCCCTGTGTCCCGCGCCGCGGGTACAGACCGTGGCCCCCTCCGCCCCGGCCTGTTCAGTCCCTCATCTCTGCGCGTCTTTGCTCCCAAGAGGGATGCTTGGGCGCTGCAGGTGCCTGTCTGTCATGCGCGACCTTTCTCCTGCACGCGCAACCGTTCGGCGGTTGCCTCCCATCGATGAGGCTCGGTGGTAACTCCTTTGAACGCGTCCCGCAATTCGCCTCGCTGCGTTGGACCAGCCAGCCTAGGAGTAACGTGTGTGTGTGTGTATGCGCGCGCGCGCGTGTGTGTGTGTGTGTTTGTGTGTGTGTGTGTGTGTTGGGGGGGGCGTGTGGGCGTGTGTGTGTGTGCGTGTGTGTGTGTGTGTGTGTGCGTGTGTGCGTGTGTGCGTGTGTGTTCGTGTGTGTATGTGCGTGTGCTTGCTAACGTGTGATAATTGCGCGTGCTGCAGCTCTGCATTGTCACGTTTCGTTTTGTCGGGAGCCCGACAGGCCGTTCCATGCGCACCTGCCGGTCAGCCTCTTTATTGGCACTATTTTATCCCGGAAAGGGCGCGGACCCAGGGTTCTCTTTTAGGATTTCACCCCCGGAATCGGCGGGCGTAGGTCGGGAGCCTTGAGACGGGGGTCAATGCAAACGGGGGTCAGCCACAGCACCGGATCCTGCAGGATCCTGCGAAGACCCCCTCTGGCTGACCCGGGTTAGCGAGCCGCTCGTGGCCGCGAGGCTGCCGCGCCTATTGGCTGACCCGGGTTTGCGAAGACCTGCGTTGCAGTTCTTTTGTTCCTGCATTGCATTTTTTGGTTTCCTTCTGACCCGGGTCTGGATTGACCCCGGTCAGAAGATCCCCGAGTAGGGCCAGGGAGATAATTTGCAGTCAATAACGAGGTCGCGCAGGGCCGGCGAATTAGGATTTTGAGGATGTCGGGAGCCTTGAGACAGGAGTCAATGCAAACGAGGGTCAGCCAGAGCGCCGGGTCTTGCAGGATCTTGCAGGACCAGGGTCGCATTGACCCGGGCTTGGGTGCAGGATCCTGCAGGATCCTGCAGGATCCTTCGCGTTGACCAGGGTTTGGATGCAGAATCTTGCAGGATTCTGCAAGGCTTGACTGGCCCGGGTCTGGATTGACCCGGGTCAGAAGAAGATCCCCGAGGATGTCTCGAACGAAACGTTTGTTCTTAAGAATTTGTTGAGGATGTCTCGAGCGAAACGTTTGTTTTGTGATATGGATCGTTCCTCTCCTGGGGACAAGAATTCAGAGGATGTCTGAGGTGAAATGCTTGTTTTTACGTGCCCAGGTTTGGGGGATTTCTCGAGCGAAACGCTTGGTTTCACGCCTCCAGGTTGCCCAGGCAGAGGTCTAGCACCAGGATTTGTTGAGGATGTGTCGAGCGAGACGTTTGTTTTCACGCGTCCAGGTCGTCCTAGCAGATATTTGTTGAGGATGTCTCGAGAAAGACGCTTTTGTCGCGTGGCGCGCCCCGCAGTGCGTCCCCATGGCACGTCCCCTGGCACATCCCCTGGCGCGTCCCTTGTAACGTTCCGCGGCGCGTCCCCCTGGCATGTCCCTATGTCAATGAGCTCTGGGGCAACTGCTATGTGCTCAGGCAGCTCGAGCTTAAGATCCAGATCTGTTTGGTCAGGACTCGAATGCAAAGGACGATTCGATCCACAACGCTATAGAGCACAATCGCGGCATGGCACATCGCAATTCAGCACGGCGCAGAACAGTACAGCTTTGGCACGGTACATCAAGATTGAAGCATTCAGTTTTTCAATTGCCCGTCTCCGAACGAGGTGTCTTGAAAATTTTGCCATGCTTCACATTTCTATAGTCTTTCCCGAGTCCGTGGGTCGATCATGTTCTTCGATTTCGGCTTCTGGGGCCTGTTACCGGGCCCCAGGACCATCAGGAACGGAAAAGCTGCGCGGTGACGGACCGTGCGGTGAGGTCCTTGGGGATTCCGAGGTCACCGCGGTCTGTCACCGCTCGGGCGGGTGGCAATGGGTGGTGACCTAAATTGTGGGTGAAGAACAGGGCCCCTTTAGGGCATTTTCTTCACCCCCCCTTCAGTCGGCCACACGCAGAGGGGGGGTAGGGGGATGCGGGGGGGTGGAGGCTTCTTGAAGCACCCCTGCCTCTTAGAAGGCGCGGGCTTTGTCTGTAGATGCAGGGCCGGCGCCTTCTAAGATGCGAATTCCTCCTAAGAAGCGTTCCCTCCTCCACCATACCCCCTTGTGCGCGCCGCCTGTACACACTGTTCAGTTTAAATATTCGAAAGTTATTTGATTTTTTGGGGGCCAAGATCCTTTCATTTTTAAGTGTTCTATCCTGGGCCTCTTCCTGGCCACTAGGGGGCCAGGAACAATTGGAAACGAGCACAGTCAGAAATGAGCACGATTTCGAATGAACGACGTGTAGGTCACCACCACTTGCCACCCGCCCGAACCGCGCCGTCCGTCTTGGGACTCCCGATCGGTGCAGCCGGCCCCCCGCCTGCCTGCACGCCTCCTGCTTCCGACGGGTGCGGACCTCCCCGCGCGGCCCTGAGGAGCCGCCGCCCTTGGCGCGCGCAGCGCGCCGGGTGGCCGTCAGCGCTCGGGCCCCCCCGGCGGCGCCTCCGACGCCGCTCCTGGCGCGCTCCGCGCGCCAGGGAGGATCCAGCGCCGATCCACGAAGTCCGCGCGGACCCCCAGAAGTTCTTCTCCGAGGAGAACATGTGCCCGTATCGCTACCCTTGCCTGGTTTTCCCCTTTGGGGTCCTTCAGGGAGGCCCTCGTCGCCACCGCTGGATTCTCCTCGAACTTCTCGTCAGAATGCACCTCGGGAGAGGTGCAGGGAGTAGCGGCATCGGTAAGTTTTGGTTGACCTATTTTCTTCTGGCGGTTCTTGTCCGCACGCCATCGAACACGCTATCTCATGTCATTGGTTTCATCATCGTCTGGCACTGGCTTCTGCCTGGGTCTCTCCGTCTTTGTCCTACCGACCTCTTGCTCCGCATTCGTCCCCTCTGTTCCTCCATTGCCCTCCCCTTGTTCTCTTCTTTAGCCTGAGAGGTGGCCTCGTGTTTCGTGGTACGCCTTGTCCAGCAGCGAAATCCAATCCAGCGGAGCCCCTCTGCTTCCAGATCCCCGGGACGGGACGGGGCGTTGAGTTATTGATTCGGGCTTAGGGGTCCTCGTCATCCGCTATCCCTTTATCTCCCACACGTGCTGGCAGCATCGACTGCTCTCAGAGCCTTGCCTGCTGCAGGACCACAGCGACGACGGGTACGACAACCACAGTGTCCATCACAAGCACCACCATGAGCAGCATCACCACGTCGGTCATCTCGGGGGATGGAGGAGGCGGAGGAGGAGGAGGAGGAGGAGGCGGAGGAGGAGGATGAGGAGGAGGCGGAGGAGGAGGAGGATGGAGGGGGAGGAGGAGGAGGAGGAGGAGGAGGAGGAGGAGGAGGAGGACGAGAGATGACGAGAGGGGAGGGCAGAGGGCGGAGGCGCAGCGACGCAGCCGCGCGTTCGCCCGGCGACTCGGACGACCAACAAGACGGAGGATACAGCAAACAGCTCAGAGTAGATAAAGGTACCCATACCTCTACCCTTCGCTCGTGTTCCCCTTCATGGGCCTCCTGGGCGGCCCTCGTCGCCACCGCTGGACTCGCTTCGAAATCCTGATGAGAACGACCCCGGGAGAGGTCTGGGGAGCAGCGGTATCGGTACCTTTTGCTCTCCCCAATAGGCCTCCCTATAGACCCCCCGCCTAGCGAAGAGCAGTAGTCACGACGGGTTTTTCCCATAAGGGGCTCGGGCACAGCGGTCTCTTTTGGCTGGTGTGCCCCCTTACCTCGACTTGCGTAGGGCTAGCGAAGTAAGTCTGCGATGAACAGCGAAGTCGCTTAGGGCCAGCGAATTGACAAGTTAAGGATGTCCAGAGCGAAACGCTGGTTTTTGAATTTCCGATCGATAGACCTTAGTGTGAAGTAAGCGTGTCCTTGTTTGGCGGTTGTCGCGAGCGAAACGCTTGCTTTGCATAATTCATTAAGAGTGTCTCAAGCGAAACGCTTGTTTTGCCCCATAGATATCTCCTCTGATGGGGACCAGAATGCAGAGGATCTCTCATGCGAAATGTTGGTTTTCACATGCCCAGGTCGCACAGAGGGGTGTTTAACATGGTTGTCCCCGGGTGGGACCACGTACTTTCACGTGCCCAGGCCACCCCGGGGGGCATCTAACATGGTGGTCCCGCGCTGGATCCACGTGTGTTGACGTGTCCAGGCCACTTAGTGGGGGTATCTTACATGGTTGCCCAGAGATGGAAACATGTGTTTCTGCATGTCCAAGCCACCCAGAAGGGGTATACATGTCTGGGGCTCCCCAGTGTGGGGGCCCACACGAGCCATACTCCCTGGCGCCATGCCGGGATGGGCTGGCGGATTTCCGCTCTGGGGTGAAAAGGGACCCATGTAATTTAACGTTTGCTGCTCTCTGGGGCGAAAAGGGGCCCATGTGTTTTCACTCTTGTTCCGCTCTGGGGCGACGCGGCCCGCGTGTGTTCATGCTTGCGCCGCTCTGGGGCGAAAGGGACTCATGCAGTTTCACGTTTGCTGCGCTCTGGGGCAACAGGGGCCCACGTGGTTTCACGCTTGCTCTGCTCTGGGGCGACAGGGACCCACATGTCCTCACCCTTGCGCCGCTCTGGCGCGAAAGGTACCAACGTGTGTTCACGCTTGTCCCGCTCTGGCCCTGGCGCGCAAAGGACCCATGTGTGCTTCAATCTTGTTTCACGTCGCCCCGGCGGATCTTCAACATGAGGATGTGTTGAGGCTGTTATTCGAGCGAGGCGTGGGTCTTTACGTGCCCAGTCCGCCCAGGGGGATCGCTAACATGAGTATGTGTTGAGGATGTCCAGGGCGACACGCTCGCTCTGCACGATATGTGGAGGATGTCTGGAGCGAGGTCCTCGCCTGCAGCGAAAGGCGCCGTCTGCGGGATGTGTTCAGGATGTCTGTCACAAAACGCTGTTTGTTCCCATTATTTGAGGATATGTCGATCGGGCGTCATCTCGATGCCTTCGTTTCGGTTCGGATTTGCTCCTTGATCGGTTTGTCCCATTTCGGAGCTGAATCGGGTCTTGAGTTCGAGCTGATTGACTGCCCCGCATGTTTCTCCCCCATCTGTCGTGGTCGCGCTCGGTTCACTCCGTTGCGGAAGTGAATGTCTCGGGCGATGACTTCGTAATTGAAGCGGCTCTTGAGCTCGAGCTGGTCGAGCGCCCCGCGCGCTTCGACTACAAAACTAGCCAGAGCTATGCGTTCAGGCAGCTCGAGCCTAAGATCCAAGTCAGTTCAGCCACGACTCTGACGAAAAGGACTGCTTGATCCACAATGCAATACGGTGTGGGCGTTCGTTAAGGAACGTGCCCAGGAGGCTTCAGACCCTGGAGGGTTCCTTATCTGATGAGGGTGGCGGTGATATCCATGGCCGATCCACGATTAAAGTTCCATTCCCATGGCTTCCAGACCCTGGATTCCTTATCGAAGGGTTCCGTGCCCAATGCCATCACCGTAGGGCGCGGCGCGGTTCAACGCGGCGTGACACGTTGAATCCAGCACAGCACGGCACAGTGCGGCGCAGTACAGCACAGCCCCAGGCACAGTTCATCACGATCGTTACCTCGAGCATTGTAATGCCCGTCGCCCAAGTTTGACGTGGAAACGATGCCAGGCTGTACATTTCTACATCCCTTTCCGGGTCCCGGGGATCGTGGGTCGATCGTGTTTTTTCCATGTTTCGGCTCTCGCGGGCCTTTCGTGGGCCCTGGGACCTTCAGAAAACGACTCGGGATGAAACGCTGGTCCCGGGGATGGGTCTCCAAACCACCTACGTTCTGATTTTCTCACAGCGTCGACCTTTACAGGTCTCGACTCATTCCCTGGGACCGGTTTTTTTTGTCCCGTCCCGTCGTGGATTCTCACCGGCTTGACCGCGAGCGCACCGCCCGTCGTAGACTCTTCGCGACGCGAGCGGGTCTGGGGACCCCTGTCGGTCCGCGAGCCGCACAGCTCGCGACGTCGGAGGCCCCAAGCAGCCGAGGGCTGCCGGCTTTGGGCGGGGGCACGCCGGCCTCCACGGCGAAGCGGCAGACTTGCCGTGGCCCTCGCCAGCGTCTGCGCACCGGCAGGCCGTGGGCGGCTGAGGCATCCGCAACGCACGTGCAGGAGACGCATCAAACAAGAGATCGGGCTGCCAGCAGGTGCCTCACGACGAGGCCTCGTCTCCAGTCGGGGGAGAAAAAGATACGGATACGTGTTGTCCCCCTTCGTTTTCGGCCTTTCCTGGTCCTCCTGGGGAATCCTCGTTGTCACCGCTGGATTCGCATCGAAATTCTGGTCAGAACGCACCCCAAGGGAGGTCCGGGGACAACACGTATCCGTATCTTTCCGCCCCCCAATCCAGGTGACCCCACGGACCCAAAAAAAAGCTTTGGGGCACCTCAGGACCCTCCAGGGTCGACGAAGAGATTCCTGTGTGTCTACTGTATCCCGTCCACAACGCGACGCTCATGCCCAGATCTCCGACGAGGCGCGTCTTTTCCTGGAAGGGGCTCCGGCCCAGGGTCTATGAAAATTCGTAAACCTGTCCCCCGGGTCCCATGCTGCGATGGGCCGGCGAATCGCCGTTCGATAAAAAAGAATGTAAAGTCCCATTCGGCGTGGAAGCAATGCGTTTCGCGCGTGCCCGCTCTAGGACAATGCGCCCCCCCATCTTGGATCCTCGTTGCACAGCGGGGTCTGGAGACCCCTGCTTCCCTTGGTCAAATATAGATTGCGGAGCGTTTTGCGCAGAATCCCAACTAAATAGCAAGGTTCGTACTTTTCAAGATCTGGTTAACAAAAATTGGAAAGTTTACCTTGTGCGTGCCTGCTCGATGATGGCGCGTCTTGCGCGCAGAAATTTCAAGGATGTCTCAAGCCCCGGGCTTGTTTTGCAAAATTAATGTTGGCTCCTTGCGAGGATGGCGCGCCCTGCGCGCCGAATATCTAAAGATGTCTCGGGCGAAACGCTTGTTGTGCAGCGCTTCAAAGGCCTGGGCGCCCCAGGATGCCCAGGTGGTTCTGGGAGTGCGGTCGGACAACGATGTACTGGGGATCGTGGCCCTGGGACCGCGGATGCTGCGTAATTTACGAGGGATCGTGGCCCTGAGAGCGCGGACGCAGCGTAATTTACAAGGGGTCTTAGCCCTGGAAGCGCGGACGCAGTATCATTTACAAGGGATCGTGGCCCTGGCAGCGCAGACTCAGCATAATTTACTAGGGATCGCGGCCCTGAGGCCGCGGGCACCATGTAGTGCACTAGGGATCGTGGTTTGGGGAACGCGGACGCAGCGTAATTTGCAAGGGATCGTGGCCTTGGGCGTTCGGGAACAACGCGATTCACAAGGGATCGTGGCCCTCTGAGCGCTGACGCAACGCAATTTACGAGGGATCGTGGCCGTGGATACGTGAATCCTTTTTGCTTCACGATGGATCGTTGCCTTGTGGGAGCGCGAACCCAGCATGTGTCACGAGGGACTGTGGCCCTGCAAGCGCGAACCCAGCGTAATTGATGAGAAATCGTGGACCTGGGAGCACGGACGAAACATAATCGATGCTAGGGATCGTGGCCCTCGAAGCGCGAACCCAGAGTATTTTTCATGGAGCCGTGGCCCTGGGAGCGTGAACACTGATTTCCAACGGATCGTAGTCTTGGGTGCGCGAACCCAGCGTAGTATTGGGAATGGATCGTGACTGGGAGCGCGGACGCAGCGCAATTCATGAGCGTTCGCCGCCCTGGTAGCGCGGACGCAGTGTAATTTCCGAGGGGCCGTGGCCCTGGGAGCGTGGACCCGATGTTGTTCACAGGGGATCGTAGACCTGGGAGCGCGGATGTGGCGTGATTTACGACGGGTCGCTGCCCTGGGAGCGCGGGCGCAGCGCAGCTTACGAGGGATCGTAGCCTTGGGAGCGCGGACGCGGTGCAATTTACTGTAGATCGCTGCCCTGGGGCAAGCGGATACAAGGTAACTTCCGGAGAGTCATGCGGATCTCGGGAACCCGTCTTTAAGGGCGTGTCATCATCATCATCATCATCATCATCATCATCATCATCATCATCATCATCATCATCATCATCATCATCATCATCATCATCATCATCATCATCATCATCATCATCATCATCATCATCATCGCGGGCGGCCTCTGTCTGGGTCCGCGGGGTCTGGGGGAGCGGGGGGGGTGGGGGGTCTGTCCTCTCGCCCCTCTCGTCCGTCGGCGTGCCTTCAGGG